CTCTCTCTCTCTCTCTCTCTCTCTCTCTCTCTCTCTCTCTCTCTCTCTCTCTCTCTCTCTCTCTCTCTCTCTCTCTCTCTAGCATTTACCCACGGTGAGGGTTATCATTCTCGGCCGGAGCGTGTGGATCAGGAATAAAGCCGACGTAACCATCATTATGCAGGGTTAGGCCACCTCATACGCATTGCCTCCTCGAATTCCGTCGACAGTCTCTGACGGCGAGTGTAACTGCAGAGGTGCGCGAACTCCCTGTACCCTGCGAATCTGTTAGCCGCCTCGTCCAATTGATCGTTTCCAACGAGGATATGCAAAAACTGCTCATTGCGGTCCTCCTCAATGACAATCTGTACTGCGCTCTCAACCAAAAACGCAGGATGCGACCATGTTGCTCGTATTTCATCCCCGTTCATTTGCGGGGGAGGAAGTCGTGGGCGACGTGCCTCGACGACTGCTGGCCCAATCCCGGGGCCCCCTCGACCGCGCACAACTCTACGTCTTGGTCGACGGTCGTACACCATGTCCCCATCATCTTCATTGATGGGTGCTTGAGGTTGTGGCTGCTCCATTATAGTGTCGCGTCGTGAGTATTTGCAACAGATGCGATGGAAGTCAGTGTCGGTGCGCGGAACATGGGAAACAAATATCCATAAAAAGGTTCGATCTTGCAGGTAGAGTATGGCGGACAAACGACAAGCCTTCACACACCGTTTCGAGGCTTCAACTTTGATATTACAACTCCAACATCGTCGAGGTTGTTATTTTCGAGCACTAGGCTTTCATCTAGATCCACGAGTCCAAGTTCGAGGGCCCGGGACAACGACCGAACTGTTTTTGTTTCTTCGACTTTTGAGAATTTCGTCCTTCGCATCCAACAGAGTTATGCTCCTCGTCATGACCCGAACCCCAACACGACACGGAAACATACGACCCTGAGTTGTCCGGGATATACTGACTGAGTCGGGCGTCTGGGTCGTGCTTCCTGAAAGGGAGGCCGCAACTTGTGGCAAAGAGAAACCGAGTTGGACTTCAGTGCAGCCATGAATGTCGCGTCCTTACACAAGGAACAGAGTCGAATGGTTAGTGGAATCGACATGTGGCTTGCCCTCCTCGTACAACAGTCGTTGCTCACGTATTGTGCAAAGAGCCTCCTGGTTCTCCAATTCCATTTTTTTTTTTCGCAAGGACGACACAATTGTTTGCACCCGGGAATACGATGTCAATAGCACAACACGTGCGTTGTTGAGGTCGTTTGTCACAACCTCTATATGTTTGTCTATGTCGTCGAGGTCATATTTGCCTTAATTACCTTCTGCAATCGACTTGTCAAGGCCATCCGTTGTGCATGGTGGCAGACGACGCATACGGTCACGGAGCGAAAACTTTTTTCGGTCATCATGAGGATTCATGACACAGCCACAGACTGAGCGACGTGATATCTAGAAACAAAAAACAAAAAAACAAGAGTCGTGAACACATCACACATTATGGGTCGAGGATGACGTCGCGCACCGTTAATGCACGATATATATATATATATATATATATATATATATATATATATATATATATATATATATCG